CGTCTTCGGGCCCGGACATATCTCACCCTCAGCTCCGTGATGTCGGGAGTCCACCAATACACGGATACTTGATCTCACCTACAGATCAATCACCGTCCCTCTATCGGGTCTTCATCCGTCAAACAATCGTCTACGACATTTATATCACACGTAACGGCGTAACTCTTTATTGCATTATGTTGTTGGAAATGTAGAATTTATAACCTGTTAATCGCAGTGTTATACCACATCAATCATCCCTATTATCTCACAAGAAATAAGGGGATCCACCTGTTCGTGGTGTCGATTATTATAATCGTAACGAGTCCAGTTGACTCCAGTTGACGCGCTTCCTCGCAATCGCGTCTCCCCGCGACTGGTCGAAAATATAAATATCTTCACACGTACACTGGCAGACATAAGTATTAAGACATTTATATACAGACATTTAATATTAATCAAATACCTTTGACTGCATTTATTTTTTAATTACCTTATTGTAAATGTGTTATTTTATTCGTATTACGTGAGCCTTAAAATATAAAATTCCAAATAAAGTAAAGCTGTTAGCCTTTCTCGGAATGTAATCAATAGGTATACTAATACTTGCGATTAGTAAAGTATGTGCTAAGATATCACTTTACTTAATAGGACATTGGTTACTACTGCTAAAAGGTACAAGTTTAGCTATTCACATCGGTGTTTTTAAAGTTATTTTGATATTTCTTTTGCACAACGATCAAAGAATTGAACGTTTTGCAAACTTGCATTAAAAGAAGAATTTTCTAAAATTTTTTAAAACAAAATTAGTAAATTTCACATAAAAGGAAGAGTGGATGGGATCGTGGATAAGGATTACTCGCAGCAAACTCTTCGCGGTGAGATCCGGGCAATCAGTATTATTTCATATATAATTATTAATCGCATTACTATATGAGATATAATTATTAATTATTATATAGCAAATAATACCAGCTGATTGGCTGCGATTACGATTTTAGTTAACTTTATTAAATAGTTTCATTGAATTTTGTATGAATAAGGATGGCATAGGTTTTTATCTTGTAGTTCTTTTTGTGTAAAATATCATGTTCAAAAATTTAAAAAATTGTTATCGTATTTCTTGAAGTTTATCTTACAATATAAAACACTTTGTTTAATTTTGTTTTAGGATGAACAATTATTACGCATATTCATATTTTAATTACAAGATATCATCGCATGGAGTGGCTTAAGAAACATTCTGATTTTTTTTAAATCGGTACGCAAAAACGTAAGACACAAAGTCCCATGTAATGTCATGTCTATCCTATCCTTGGTCAGTGATATTAGGGAAGCCGGAAAAATTGCACTTAATCGAACAGAAGTAGTTGGATTAACAATATACGGTAGAAAATACAGATTGATATATATAATACATTTTTGTATTCACAAAATATTTTTATTTGTCAAAGTATATGTAACGGCGCAGGAGTCAAAGGACGACGCAAATTGAGAGTGACTCGTGTTGTTTTGCCTCGGGGCATTGACACAACCTTGACGCATGAAACATAACGAGAAATAAACTCCGGGCAAAACAATGTCGCCGCTACATGCAACCGTCGAATGAAGACGAATTTGAATTTTCAAACTCTCCCCCGACCAGTATAAATAAACGGACGCGATTGCGAGCGACAATATCACACAGCATCGTAAAGTATCTCCACAGTATCTCTGATTATCTCCGAGTATCAAAAAGTACCTACAATATCTCGAAGTATTACGAGTATATACCGAGTTACACGACGAGCATTAACCCCTTAACCTACATCAACGGGCATAGCACATAGTGCCATGATCGGGCCAAATATAATATATAATATAATATATAATAGTTTGTTTACGTTTTTGACCGAAAATTCTCGAACGTAAATCGTAGGTTAAGGGGTTAACGAGTATTTATCCACGATTTTATTTTGCGATTTATACTTTGTACTAACGACTAATGTATACAGGCTGTACATTAATTTATTATTTTAAATATATTCAACGGCTTTAAGCCTCACGTACTAACTATCCTCTACTCACATAAACCTCTACATATACAGGGTGGTTGGTAACTGGTGGTTGGGTGGTTGGTAACTGGTGGTGCAAGCGGAAAGAGGGTGATTCTACGCGAAGAAAGAAGTCGAAAATATAGAATAAAAATTTTTCGTTTGAGGCTTTGTTTTCGAGAAAATTGACTTTGAATTTTCGCTCTGTGCGCGTGCACTTTATCACCTCTCGTTATAACGGATCTCACTGTAGATCGTTGTCTCGATAGAAAAATTAAAAAAAAAATTTTTATTCTATATTTTCGACTTCTTTTTTCGCGTAGAATCACCCCCTTTCCACTTATACCACCAGTTACCAACCACCCTGTATAAAGTATGTATCCAATTATTGATTACTCATTTTATCAAAATTCTTTTGAAAATTTATTTTTGACTACGTCGATAAAGTAGAGGACGAATACTGTATCTGAATATGTGCTGCCACGTAGCTTTCTCCCGAACTGCTGTGATATCATCGATAATGTAGAGAAATGACTTTCGATCGTCAAAGCAGTGCAGAAGGACAAGCCTGGGACGCAGCATGGTGGCGCAGCGAGTCAGGGTTAGTTCATTTGAAAAACGAAGCCGAGATATCAGTCGGGTGGCAACTGTCGAGCATGTGTGTCGTCTCTCGTGTCTGTTTAGTTGTGTCTTAAATTGCACACAGATCACCAATTGCATGTACACCCTAGTACATGAAGGAACGACAGACAGTTCGCGAACATGTGATTTTGACAGAGAATACGTTTCGTCGACGCTCGTTACCGCGTGCGTGAAAAGTGAAGGTTTTCCTTGCCGGATATATCGTTACCCTGTAGCAGCTTCGTTCGAGGGGGTGGAGAATAATGTTCTGAGCCGTGAACCACGCACATCATGGTTGCTAAGCACTTCACACAGGGTAAGTTTCCTAACCGTTCCTTTCAACCACACGTTTTGTTTCTATAATATATAACTACGTTTCCTGCGAATTTTCGATCTGATAAAGCAGGATAATACAAGTCTCGGAATCGTTGCGTACCCTAGAGGTGAAAACGTGCACACGTAATATCCATGGTGCACCAATACGGTGCATGGTGGGTGGTGCAACTCTATAATAGTAATAATAATAATAATAATAATAGGAATAATGGTACACTTGTAAGGTCGTATTACATGATAGATCACACTTCTTTCACGATAGAGATCAAAGAAATTAGAAGGGATCAGCTATTACAGTTTTGCGTGTAAACATGTAAAATTTAATAGAATCGTATCTTTTGACTTCTCGACAAGAATCACAAAAGTTCGATGTTTTTCTCAACAAAATACCGTTTTTCATCACAAAACTTCAAATATATTTTTGTTCTGTTCAACCAAATTTTATTTAAATATTATATACCCGCACACACACATACACACATACACACACACACATACATACATACAAATATTATATACATATTTATATACGAATTACAACCTGACATATAAAACAAAGTTCGAACAAAATTCATTCAGATTATGTGGGCAAGAAATACATATATGAATATATGTTTCTACGTGATATAGACGTGTATACACTAGTAAGAACAGAGTCAAATCGCTTGTCTATTATTATAATACTTTTATATTTCGTGACACGGTTTTGCGACATTTTTATACAACTAAGAATACTCAAACACTGTAAGACCTTTTCCTTATTTTTCATCCATTATTCAAAAGGTGTTCGGTGAAAGTAAAATCTCGGTAATTTATAACCATAAACTGTGGTATTTTGAAGGAATAAATTTGTAGACAGGAAATTTGTATGTTATAATATAATTATATGTGAATATAACTACTAACTAGATATGAGGCTGCAAAGTAGTTTATAGTTTGATCACGTTTTTAAGTAAAGCTTGTCAAGTCTGGGTGGAGTAGCATTGACCGATTGTTCTGGGGGATAAGCTCTGGAGCTTGCGTGAGGCCGATGTCAAGTTCGTGGTGGCTTTTAAACCGTTCGTTCGATGTCCCATCGATCGACACTTGGCGTAATCTTACTCGCGCGTGCCCTTCTCAACACGCATGTTTTTCTGCATGAAATTGAGGGGACGAAAGCAAAGAGAAAAAAATTGGCTGAACACCATTCTGCACGTTTCCCAAGATGGTTGACTGTAACGTATTTTTAATGCTGGAACTACAACATTGTAGTTGTCAATATAATGAATTCGTTATTTTTCATAGAAATTTTATAGATTCACTTTCATTTTAATTTATCTGGTAGAAATTTTATACCTTGGTACTTCTACTGTCAGGATACAGTTGTCAATAATAATTTTCTGGATTTTTATAGTACATGTAATAGGTTTTATTCAAATGAATACTCTTTATTTAATTAACTTATTAACTTAACTTTTATTAATTAACTATTAACTTATTAACTGTAGGCGGTAAATTCTATGTAATTTATAGACATTAAAATTGACAGTTCTTTATATTCAGAATATTTTTAATGAAATTTAAACTTCATTATGATTTTTTATTACTATTATTATAGTCTTTGATTATACATTTTATTTTATTTCATTTATATATAGAGGTAGTAAAAATACATTCAATGAGGTGAAATAAAGTGAATGGAAGTCTAATTTTATTTCTATCGTTCGTGATTGGTAATACATTTGTACTGGTATTCCACAACCCTTTTAATTTACATCGCGATATTTCTGGGCTTCTTACCACGCAATAATCTTCAACATAATTCTGGTTTACCTTTAGCATCTGTTTGTCACACACGGTAGGTGTAAATGTCACTAGTAATTTTTCACGGAAGCTCGATTAAGGAAGTATGCGATGATTCTTCCGCTCTAAATCCATCAGGCCTTGCTTCTTCTATATACTATGTACACCTGCAGTGCAGTGATACATCTAGGGATTTCCATCTTCCACGTCGTTTCTTTTGGATCCTTCCATCGTGCAGGTCGATAAAGGTTGCACGTTCCTCTGCACTTTCGAATCAGCCTTTCTACTTGTTACTTCCGTTACTCAATTTTACGGAAACTGAGTTTCGATGTCACTAAATTAGTCTCTATAATCTTAGTACCTAGTTAGTTTTATAGAATTTATAATCTATACTAATTTAAAATAAAAATATTGTCATCTGCTTGTGCGGTAGGATTTCATTACACATTTCTCAATCAGGAAAGTCTGTCAATTTTTGTTCCTAAAAGTTTCATAAAATTCATAATTTATAATATAAAATTAAAGTATCGTTACGTTGTAACATTTCAATACACGTTTGTTAAATATAAGGAACTATTGCACGCGCAATTTTTAAATTAATCTTATTATTTTTTACCTAATATTATCTACTAGAAGTAATACTAACAATTGGTAAAAATAAATATTGTTTTTATCATGTACCTAGAACAAAGGAATGCCAGATGCTGTGAGTATGTTTCTTTCTAACGAAAGATCGTTGGGGGCTCGTAAAATGTTTCACATAAAAACGACCTTTTTTTTGTGACACGCGATCCAGTTCTGTGCAGAGCAGGCAATACAATCTCGCCGTTCGTACACAATCAGCATTCACGGCAGTTTGGTGTGTACAATATGTGTGTATATTAGCGAGGGCCTGAGTTATCATGTCGCGTATGATAAAACCACTTACGGGACACATACACGCGTGCATACATGTTACTTCCGATCGAGGATACAATGCCTCTAGTGAGTCGAGACCAAGAGAAATTAATACTGTGTTACACTAGTTGTATATTTCTTTATCTTAAGGACTCTAAAAAATTAAAAAAACTCTAGAGAACTAAAAATAAAAAAACGAGGTAATTTAATTGCAAATCGGATTGAAAACGTGGACAATTTGTATTATTTTGTATCTGTAGATAGCCAATGAAAAAAAATTCTTTCGTAGAACAATACAAGTTGGAACTGAAATCCGTCTCCTTAATAGTCTCGGGTTGTAAAATGAAAAACCGCGAGAAGCGAAACTCGAACAAATATCCAGGCAAAACTCCTCTCGTATTTTATGAGCATTGGAAGTCGCAGGACGACTAATTGGATGATGGCATTTGCTTTGTACGCGCGACGCATTTTTATTAGAATACTTGTTTAAGCTTATTTTACCGAAATACCTAAAATAGAGATTCATCCTTTGTCTCAACTTGTTCTATTCATACATTTAATTCTAGCCCGTTAAAAGTGTACATTTACACATTCATAGTGCATTCCTAACCTCTTACAGTTCTTCTATTAGTAAAGTATTGAAATGTAAGACATAACGTATACAGTAAGAGACTGAAACATTAATAGAATTGAAATATAGAAATAAAAAGAGCAGTATTTTCTATATCATTAAATATGTACATTCAAATATATGTAACATATATGTAACATGTACATTATACATAGATACTTACAGTAATAAATGTAATTAGCTTTTGTTTACATTTATTGCTATAGTTGTGTGTAATATACAATTAAATATATTTCTGTATACATATTTAATAATATAGAAATAAAATTTCATTCCTACTGTACGAATGCTTTTGTTTCTCGCTGTATCTAAAAATCCTCCATCCGAGGAATGGATATCAAATTCTGGGTTTGAGTCAAACCTTTTGTTACATAAGTAATCTGTCTTTATTAAATCGTAACTGCAATTGATGTCACGAGCGTGATACAATATTAAAAGGTTGGAGGTTAATTGATAAAGAATCAGTTGACTATGATACCATAGATAGTTGCAACGCATTCTTTTAAGAAACCAACTTCACGTACTATGTGTGTCATCGAACTAATAGTTCGATCAGAGAGATCTCTTTGGTGAAATTAACAGGAGATATCTCGTATAAATTTCCCCTAGCTTTAATAGCTTTTTAATAGCCTAGGAGCAGTAACTCCTGGAATACGTAGGTTCTCCGAAATTCGATCAACAGTGACTCAAATATGTAGTCCGTCTGAGAAACTTTTATAGTGTGCACAGGTATATCGTGGACATCTCGAACGAGTGAGTCACGACAACATCTTGGTAAAAGCAGGTTTCCTCGGAATTTCGTGCTCTCCCAATGAATCACCGGATGTAAACGTCAAAATATATATTTTACTCGAAAACTCAAAATCAGAATCCTTCAAAATGTGTAGACATTGTAGTGTTGAAATATTTAATACAACCTTGTATTTGTTTGATATTTTAGATGTAGAAAGCAAAAAAAAATTGTGCAACATCTTTTGATATGATTTTTCGATTATACACAATTATGATTTATATTGTAATATTATGTATATGAGGCCTTTTTCTTTAGAGTAATAGTTTTGTAATCATGCTAGAACAATGTTTATTTAACAAATACAATAATCAATTTGGTCAATGAATCGCATGAAATGGAACTTAGAGATTTATTTTACTTATTAAATATTGCATCGAGTACCCCATTTTTGATATTATATACATTTTTGCATTAAAAATCTAATCTATTAATCATCATGAATCTTTTATATCAGTTTCACAATCATCTTAAGTCGCAGCATTTTCTTATAATAACCAAATAATCTATGATCCTCGTATATAAAAAGAAAACATCTTTAGTTGAATAAAGAAAATACATTAGACATTATACAATTGAATCGCAAAATTCAACGCTATATCCTTTGCTTCGATCAAATCGATTTTAAGAATAATTGAAATCCCGTGGTATATCACAATTAATAAAGGATGAGATTAATTTTACATATCATTGCTTGGCAATGATAGTGACAACTAACAAATTTTCAAATTTGCTTTCATCGAATAGAAGTTGTTGAATCTATATTATGTTTCTATTTTTATCATGTAAAACAATATATTTCTAATTCCATCAGTTTTGCATCAGAGAGCTAACTTATTACGTATGCCGCTATTAACCTGGCCTTAGTTTTTCAACAACACCGGCTCATCTTCAGTTGTTTTGTGACGCTGCAAACGGAAGGCTGCTTTCATGAATAGTGGCATATCTTATCTTAAGTCAGGCTTATAATGTCGTTGAAATGACTCATTTGACATTTTTTGAACTGTACCACTATCGATGCCAAGTAGCGATATATAGAAAGTAAGAAGTATACGTTCGGCAAGACTGAACGTTTTTCGGCCAGGTTAATATACCACCGATGTTCTGAATATGATAATGCAGTGAGTTAATTATTTCCTCCCGTTGTTGCGTGTCATCGACCTCCCTGGGAACTCCTCGGGAACTATACTGTTGTTGGATCGTTGCACGAAAGTTTTGGCCTCGATCGACAGTATGAAGTACCTTGAAGGTGGCGCACCGTAAAAGGGAGACACACAGCGGGAAGGACAAGCGGAGAAACGAAAGAAGAAAATTAAATAAGCCTGGCTCCTACGGAGAAACGTAAATATGTGATGAAGGAAACTGCAATTACCAAACGAATTCGATCGTTTCTAATTGAATATAAAAAAGACATATCTTGTGAAGTTGCTCGTTAAAACCGTCTTGTATCTCCGGATAATAACATCGCATAGCTCTTGAAAGCAATTTCGTTTGTTCGATTTTATTACGTTCTCCTTTCGATTTTTATATGTACAGTTGTAAGTAGCTCGTAAAATCGTTCCTCGAAACTGTTTTTATTTATGTTAGTAGCGGTATGTTTATCGATATGTATCGCTTACATGACGGACGCCATGTTTGTTTCGTAATGTAGAGTTCGTTTACAGCGATACGCGAGAACAAGGATTCTACGAAACCCAATACATTTTATGATTTATAAGAAAGAAATATAATAATCTATTTCTCATTCTCGTTATATTCTCGTTTCAGAAAATCTATATTCTTCGGGTATATTTATTTTGTTGACTTTATTCTTTTCCAGTTTTGTAATCAAAGGAATTGAGTAAGAGATGATCGTAGCTTTTAGATTTCATTCGTTATTCGAAGTAGATAGGAGCGAGATGAATAATTATGCTAGACTGATAAATATGCCACCCTCTCCGTGTCCTTCCTTTTACATTAGAATATTCTAGCCGCGTGTTACGTCTCCCTTTCCCGTAAATTATATTCGTGCTCATTTCCACCGTACGACACTACTACCATAATGCATATTAGATCAATCTTTTCTGCGTCACGTGAACCACAACGTGCTTCAATTTGAATTTTATTCCTTTTTTATGGCTATCAGACACTAAATCATCCACTGGAATCTCTAGGGACTACCATCATAAGACAACTACTACCGTCGGATAACCTACAATTACAGAATTTATTAATAACATCTACATATATAACCGTGATAAGTCATAATATCAATAAATTGAATCATGCAGTATAATCCCTCTGATATTGAGCCCTTGTAAAGGCAAATAAGAAAAAGGCAAATAATAGATTTATCAGCTCTCCACTGATATGGATTAAATGTATCTTGCACGGTAAATTACTGCACTTGCAGCGACCATGAAGGATGCGAACTCGGTGTACTCGTTAAACGGCTAGCGAAAAATTCATCAATCTTAGCACCTGCACAAGTGTCTCGAGATCTTATCTTGGCATCGTTCGTGTTTTGCCTAAATCACTGACAAAGTCTGGGTTAACTAATCCAGTCAAATGACACGCGATCGAATGACAATCACGCGCGCCATCTACGAAGACAGTCACGTACGGCCATGAATCGTTTCTGGCTGCATTCCTATTTAAATAGTATGGCCAGAGGACCTTCGTCAACTCCGGGAAACGGATGGCAGTTCTGATAAGGAATCGCCGTTTCCAAAGCGCGAGGAAGGAAATATAGGAGAGTGAAGGAGCACAAGCGATTTATTTCATGGAAATAAACGGGAAGAACGTTAGTCGGACTACCATTCGCGAGCCATAGAAATTTAATACAAGACCGTTGCAATGATCCTTGAGTTCGCGCGAGGGTCGTTACGTCAAGCGATACTCTTTTCTTGCAAACACGGCTTAATCTCGGAAACGTCGACTGGGTCGACCGCTTTATGAGTGGGATTACGTTTAAATCCGAGCTGTGTATATCGTGTAGATTCTCATTTGCTTTTTTCAAACTTTCTTGCATCAAAGATGAATCGCTTTTTTATGAAATGTTAAGTTTTCGGCAGTTTTTATTTTGCGATATTATACGGTTCTTTTTATATAATTATTTAAGATCAAAATATCAAGGTATATATTTTTTGTCATTTTTATTTGTAGTATTTTATTTTATTTGTCTTATCGTTTGGTATACATATAAGCTTGTAATAAATGATCTTACAATTTGTTAGAAGCTTCTTGCTTTTAAAAGTCTCACGTTTCATCAGAAGTGAAAAATGTATCTTCTAAGTGACAAAGAGAAAAATTGCCAGAAATTGTCAAACGGGTCTCAAACTGCGGGATGAAGTATCAAATTTCGCGATAGTTAGCGAGACGGTCCACAAAGAGTCACGTGATATACGACCTTGGGGAAATAGGACCATGGCAGCTGACGTGCAGGTGCAACATATTCGCAGGTGCATACGTGCTGCTGCTGCTGCTGCTGCTGCTGCTGCTGCTACTATGGCACCTGCGTACTGCGAGCACGTGGTTCGCCGCGATGATTGGAGATGATGCTCTGACCGGATGAGACTAGATATTTTTTTTGATTTCTTAAAAACATATCTGATCAAATTGAAAGAAGTATTTAAAAATGCAACAGTGTTTGATATTCTTCGTAAATACGTATTAACAATAATTCTTTCTTATTTTTCTAAACCTTAAGAAATATTCCAATTGTAGAAAAATAAATATTTCCAACTATAATGAATATGCGATGTGAGTAAAATTTCTAACTGAAGAACACAATTCTTTCTTTTTTTCTTAAACTAAAGAAATTTTCCAACTATCGAAAAATATATATCCCTAATTATGACGTGAATATATGATGTGAATAATGAAGATTTTAAATCGTGGAAAAATACGATTCGATGGAAAATGGATCGAGGAACGTAGAAAGATTAACGAATACTGCAATGAACAGAAATGCAGAAGCGTTCAATTATACTCGACTGTCGCAGTGTAAAGGTTAATTCCATCGTTTTCGCAGTGTTTCCCCGGCGATAAACCGCAGCGGGGTGAAAAGGAAAAAAAAAACGTCGCGAATGTACATAGGTTATATACAAAGGATTGGTTAATGAACCGGGGAAAGAAGACAAACCGCAGCAGTTACATCAGAGATCACCGCGTTTGGGGTAAGCACTGTGTGCACGATCCCTCACTTGGTTCGTCATCGTGAGGGCACGTTAATTAAATTGTGATTGCGATCAAACAGCTGGAATCTTTCCTTGAAACCCCGTAACACTGATTCCATTGAATTCTTCGAACAGAATTACGCGAGGAAATATGTACGTACGTGTATCACATGTGTATTATGTACGTTTTAATTAATGCTAACGGATTTGAAATGGAGATTTCTTTGGATATTAAAGCGGATAGAAGACTAGGAAAATTATTATACATAGTTGATAAAATATTATTTTTTTTATATTTACAATATTTTTCTGTATTATTGTTTTACATTTAAAATATTTTTATATATTATTTTTTCTTTAATTAGAAAATTTATTATTTTATTGAGGAATACAATTCCTTATGATAATAAAATTTAACCCATTACTGGTAATGTGTTAATCAATTATTATGAAATATTGGGAAATATTTGATAATGTATTAAACATTATAAAATGTGCATCTTATGGATAACCTGTAACAAAATAAATAATAGAACAAGTTAGAAAATCACGTACGTAGTCATGTTTGTGTTTGATCCAATATTATAGTGGCTTTTCTATGAACACGTTGAATCGCGTTGAAAATTGACCACTGCTGGCACCAAGGAATCGTCACGTACAATATTGTCCGAACAGAACAACAGGTGGTCAGAGAATTTACCAGGTTTCCATATCGCGCTCCTTCCAAACGAACGGGATCAGTGTTAAGTGGTCGGCCGAGCTCGGATGACCGACAGCTTGGAAAAGCTAACATGACCTCGCTGGATTGAGTTCTTAAATATAAAGGAAATTTTCTTTCTTTTTTTGTTTCAGGCTCCAGCCCTGAGTTGGGTGTCCCGGATATGACAGTCATCAGTGACATCGATGAAACGGGAATTAATCGGAATCTCCAAGTCCGCTATAAGAGGGACCAGATATATGTATCCTTTAATTAATTAAAATTCATTCTTATACCTAGGTATTAGGTAAGAATTATCTTATTGTTTTCTATCTTAAACATATGTTAATTGGTCTTATGTTTACATTTTTTAATACACAAATGCATATTTCTTTATACCGTAACTTTTTCAAAAAATTCGCATACATCTTTAATTTAGAAATTTATTAGATAGGATATTTTTTAGTAGTTTTTTTATGATGTTAAATCAGCGATTAAATTAGAAATTGATTCGAGTACGATTGCAACATCTTTCGTATGAATATGATCTCATAAAAATGCTACACCACGTGTGAACCGTCTTGTTCTGTTCGTCCGAGAGTTTCGCAAAAAACAGTGAACGGACGTCCGTTCATTTCGTAATTCGTACGTTAGTATGCCCTGGAGTTAGAATTCTTCGCGCATTCCTACGTATAACTCTCTCTCGAGTTCCTTCTGCTCCTCCTCTTTCTCAACAGTATTGCAGCATTGGAACTAAGGTATTTCATATTGAAATTTTTAACAATTTTTGGCCTCTAAGTGAAAGGACGTTTGGAGCTGGTGAAAAGCTAGCACATTAAAGAATAATGTCAAATTTTTTAGAATAATGCTAGAGTGCAATGTTAGATACTTTAGGACTGCGTTAAAATGTAACATTAAATTTACTAAGGTCAAGAGTAAAAATTTAAATATTATTCGTATTAATATAAATATTGAGGAACTAAGTCAAACTTCCAAAAATACTCTTAAAGAATAATTTCAAATCTACAATTTTACTATAGATCAATCTTATAAACTCTTCCAAATTCACCGAAATTCCGGGATATCTGAAACTTCCAATGCTCCTCCTCAATCGCCAATACACATTTTCCAACTACCCGTACTTTTCCTCAGACCCTTAAGTTCCTGTCGATCCGCCAAAATTCCTAAACATCTCGAACTTGCTAAACTTCTCGACGAAATAAACTACGTATACTTACTTCTGGAGTTTCCATATCTCTCGGAGGTTCTCAAATCAAAAGAAACTGAAAAAGCCCGCAAACCCATAAAGATGTAAATAGTCCAAGACAAAACTATCTCTGTCACATCCCTATCCCGGCAAACAGAGAACCAGCATTAGAAAAGGGAATTAAAAGCGGAGAAACCTAGTGCAATAGAGTATGAAATAGCGAGAGAAAGAACGAAAGCGACGAAGAAAACGGAAGAAACGGGGGTAGTTTAAAGAAGAGAAGAACTATACGTATGAATTTTGCAGGGGTGGGGCGTTGCTCCCGGGTTGGTTCGTTGCCATGACGACAACCCCAGTCAGCTGGTGAACCACCCCAGGGCCAGACCCATTCATCCTCTGGTTTCACCGACCCAACGACCGACACCGACCCGACCCACTGTAGTTTCTTGTCGTGCTTCAATCCACCCCTCACCCTTCTTTCGATTATCCTACGTTCGTGATCTATGGCTAGAGGGCGAAAAGACGTCCAAATGATCATCCGTGCCTTTTATTACGAGTATGGCTCGATATTCTCATAGGCACACGCATAATATCGACTCGCCTTCGAGCTGGAAATATCGAGGGAAGTTTAGGAGTCTGGCAAGTTCGCGGTGACCCTTTTCTTGATATCTTAATTGGATTGGTTTTCCTCTTAATTGGCTTACCAATGAATAGAAAGAAAAATAGTTGATTCGCTGATTTTTATTAGTTTCGTTGGTTGAACTGCTGGAAGTATTGTATTACTTTCTTCCAGATATTGCAGAGGATGAGGAGGTTTGTTGAAGAGATAGCTAATTCATTGGTTTTCGTTAGTTGGATTGGAGACAGTATCGTATTATGTTTTTCGGGATATTGGAGGTTTATGCCGGAGAGGTCAGTTATTTTCGTAGTAGGGAAAAATAATTATGTAACTATAATTACTTTTTATTGTTTTGGTTCGTTAGTCGAATTGACAAAAGTAACGTATCGTATTTGTGGAAATATTGCAGAGGTTTTGGGTTTCTATCAAAGCTTACAGAATTATAATAAATTTGTAAAACTAGAGCAAATGAAATTAATGGTTAAGATGACTTATCTAATTGTTTGATGCATTAGAAGTTGAACGTTAAGGGATTAATTGTTAGATTTCTATATAAATTTTTCTAAAATTAAATATCTACGAATCGTCATGTCTACGAATTTACCATCGTTAAACTGGAATTAAATTAAGAACACTTTATTCTGTCGTAAAGCGCTAGGATATTCGTGATGTTACACTGAATTCGAAAGGAACGTGTAATCGATTTTCCAACACGAATAGACGATGATGGGTCGTTAACGAAGCCGGCACGATTCGCCTAACCAGTAGCGGCATAGTTTTTGCTCTTCGGTATGGTTCGGTATGGATCAAACACCGGAATTCAAACGCGTGATGCGTCCGCTTCGATGATTTAGGTCGTCGTTGGAACGCACTCGTTAGTGGACACTTCCTCGTGCATTACGACGATGAACGTCGCAGAACGCGACGTGTGGGACGCATAGACGTCAAATTGGCCACGAAATCAACGATGACAAAGCTTTTACCAAAGAAAATGTTCTCTTCTTCGTAGGTTCTTCCTTTTCATTTTTCATTGCGACACTCGATAATTGATGGAATAATATCGTTGTTGTTAATAATTTATAGACTATGGCCGTTTATGTAAATTTGTGTTCCTAACTCTGTTACATTCTTTTCTACGTTCTTTACATTAACTCCGTTTACATTTTCAATTTGATTTTACGTATCGTCTCAATCCAGAAGAAGAATCGAGAAAAATAATTACAGCTGAATATTTTTCTACATATCCAAATTGTAAATTACGTTATAGATTCTTCAGTTTCTTCCGTTCTCCGATATTAAATTAGCGTATTCAATTAAAATGTAGGCTCGAATAATTTCAGTGTACAGTCACAGATCGTGCAGCCTCCGCAGGAAGTTTAATTATCGGTTGATTGCAGTGAACGAATAAAACCGTATATTCAATGACCAAACACTGAACATACTACATATCAATCAATCCACGCGTAATTAGTATAAGTAACTAACCACATCCTGTGATTTCCACTATCAATTCCAAACAACACGTATCGTTGATTACTTTAAATTCAACTAAAAACAATCAATATCATTCGACAACGCTACACTTCAAATTTCTAGATATTTTTCATATTCTGATGCTTTTAGATTGATTAAAATGTGCGTCCGGGTTGTTTTCATAAATCTAAGCAATTGTACACGAGAAACCACTATATAAAAAGCTAAATTGAAACATCAACTGTTAACTTCTGATCGGATTTATCTCTTGTATGTCACTGGACTTTTAGATAACGTTTGATACTGGATTTTTTAAATAATTAAAAGTTTTCTAAAAGAACATTTCTACAAAAACACACAATTAAAAATATCTGGAACATAAAAATTCTTTATAAAAAATAGGAAATAACATAAAAATGCGGAATTTCTTATAGATTACTTTTGATAAAAGATCGAGCCGATCGTACAATGTATCAGAATTTCCTTTAGACTATCAACCGTATAGCTAATAGAACTAGCCGCGGTGTATCCTGGTTCCTCCCAAAGGGCCAGATCGATAGATCGCAGGTTGATTAAATAGCTGCACTACGAACCGCTCGCCTTTGCGAGTGCTATTTCGATCGAGAAAGATACCTTTCAGTAGCACAGATAAAGTACAGTAGCCTTTACGATATAGATAAGCCGTAAAATCGGTCAGATATATACAGGGTGGTTGGTAATTGGTGGTACAAACGGAAAGGGGGTGATTCTACGCGAAAAAAGAAGTGGAAAATATAAAATAAAAATTTCTCGTTCGAGGCTTTGTTTTCGAGAAAATCGACTTTGAATCTTCGCTCGGTACGCGTGCACTTTATTACCTCTCGTTATAACGGATCTCACTGTAGATCGTTGTCTCGATGGAAAAATTAAAAAAAAATTTTATTCTATATTTTCGACTTCTTTTTTCGCGTAGAATCATCCCCTTTCCGCTTGTACCACCAGATACGAACCTCCCTGTATATTGCAATATTAGAACGAACAAAGTGATAAAAATCGAAAAAGTTATATAATAAGTTTAACAACTTTCTTACCTTAACGTATTGCACGCGTACCGAGCGAAAATTCAAAGTCGATTTTCTCGAAAACAAGGCCTCAAACGAAAAATTTTTATTCTATATTTTCGACTTCTTTTTTCGCGTAGAATCATCCCCTTTCCGCTTGTACCACCAGATACGAACCTCCCTGTATATTGCAATATTAGAACGAACAAAGTGATAAAAATCGAAAAAGTTATATAATAAGTTTAACAACTTTCTTACCTTAACGTATTGCACGCGTACCGAGCGAAAATTCAAAGTCGATTTTCTCGAAAACAAGGCCTCAAACGAAAAATTTTTATTCTATATTTTCGACTTCTTTTTTCGCGTAGAATCACCCCCTTTACGCTTGTACCACCAGATACCAACCTTCCTGTATATTGCAATATTAGAACGAACAAAGTGATAAAAATGGAAAAAGTTGTATAATAAGTTTAACAACTTTCTTACCTTTTTAAAATGTTTCTTATCTTAAGAAATCCAATAATTTGGACAGGTTCGTGTAATAAGAATAGTAATTTTCACGATATAATATGGTTGTAGCATCTCGCATCAAATGTTAAAGATTACGCGTTTGAATATCGAGATGGACTAATTAACAATTTGAAAAATCGAAGTTCTTAGCCATAATAAGCATATAACCATAGTAACTGCAACACGGCTAGAACTATTAAAATCCTCAATTTTTCCGTGATTAAACGGCAATCTGTGTGAAGAAGTAGCCAACTCGATACACCTTTCAATGGTAATGTATTTACGTCAGCGTCGATATTAAACTGCGAGATTGCACATTATTACCGGGTGAAATAATACGTCGGCGATAAAACGCCGTGAGGCGTTCGCTTTTCGACAAAATGATGGCCCTTGTGCCAAGAATCGTGCGCAGC